CAAGACTTATTTGCTCAAGTTAGACTATGGAGTATTGTGCCAGTCTAATGAAGAAATTAAGCAATTAAAGTCAGAGCACTTAGACTTGTTACCAGACTGGTTGTTTACGAAAATGCTTGCTCTATTAAGAAACTTGCATGGTAATGATTTGCAAAGTTCTCGTGTAAAATATCACGATCCGAGGTTAAAGCGAATTATGCAAAGTTCGTTTGGGAACCAGATTTATTACCTGAAGATTGTATCTGTTCTTACGACATGCTTAAAGAGCTTTGTCATTTTGGCTCGTTGGAATGCCACGAACGTTCTTGGTTGGGATTGAAATGGACCAAATATCCCAAGCTCATGGATTATCGTTTAACTGAGCSCGGTTAACCCAGTTACTGACCAAGACGATTTCCGTCCGGAAAGTCGCATTTATCTCAATTTTTCAAACATCGGTTTAACCGCCGGGGGCTAATAATATCTGGCTGTGATTTATCAGACTAGTCACGGCRAATATACAGGGCATTTTTGAATTCACATGGGCGTTTAGAGTGGATATCAAATAATACATTTGAGAAATAGCTACGATGAAGCTAACTGAACCCGCACTCAATTGACTTTCCCCCACCGTAATTATCGTGTTTATATAATAACATGTTCGAAAAAATAAATAAATCTACCTAATTCTCTTGCTTTTAACATTCCGGCCAGTGTGTATAATTATTGTGAATCACTAGCGTCTCTTTCAGGAACAGTATTTTTAGAGCATTGTGCGTCAAGCCAACTTGTCAGGAACATTTGGCTGCACAGTTTTTAAAATGTTTTCATTGATTGGTTTTGCTCTGTTAGCATTTTCCTTTGTGTTTGTTCCGGCCGGGATAATAGCGATTCTTTATGTAAAAGCTCGTGCTTCAGTTTCCAAATTTTTCGAGAACCCTTCCTATATTACAGAAGAGGTTCTTGGCACTTTAATGGGTCTTGCAGCAAAAATACCATCCAATCCTGCAATTGCTCCAATGGAATTCCAATAAATATAATTAACTGTTAATAACGCGCTTGCAGAAACCGTATTACCAGCAGTACCGCTTGCATTTATATATTTAACACATGTCGGTGTAATTTATATGGTTCCCTGTTGGTACCTTATTGCCTGATAGAACGCTTTATCTTCCCAATTGACATAAATCTATAAAGCATTATCACATAAAACTACACCCGTATAAGGCCCAAGTAATTTAAAGCGTTCTATTATCTGATGCACTTTTTGTCCAATTGCGAGACGAATTGTGCGGATTAACGATATTTTTTAAATGATGCTGTACTTAAGTAACTAAAATGTATTTATTTTTGCTGCAAATTTTGTTAGATAAATCGAAAAAAATTCTCAGGCAAAAATGCATACATTCGAATAATAAGTGTGTACATAAAATGGCTTAATTTTTACACATCTGTGTAAATCTAAGTCGACGTAAATAAATTAGTGATTTTTATTGGTTTAGTATTTCTGTGCTCTGTCGTAAAAAACCGTTTTTTCTTTTCTGCTAAAGTTAAAATATGGTGTTCCGATTCAGAATTTTCCAAAGCCCATTTTGCGCAAATCTGGAAACATTTCATTGCCTCTAAATTAATTTTTTGAGTTCTGCAGATTATTCCCACTTTCGGAAGCGACAATCCGTTCTAAGAGACATTTTATTATTAGCTTGATCACATTTTGAACCATGGGTTGCACTAATGGCGTTACATTAGATGGTAAAAACATTGCAACAATTTGAAACTAATGGGTTTTTCGGGTTTTTAGGT